TGACGATGCTGCACGAGTTCATGAACATCAAGGATCTTAACAAAGCTGTGGCTGAAGCATACCATAAGTTGACTCACCTAGAGCGTATGATTATGGAAGAAGAGTGAAATTATGTTACCCCCCTTACATTATGATATGTAACAGGCTGAAATAAATATATAAAAATATTATGTGCAATGTGTGTCATTTATTATCTTAGTTATCGAGAAGTTTTGTTATATAGGAAATGCTGATAAATAACTAATGATGGTGCGGAAATACACTCGTACACAAAATGATCATTCTTACATCTTTATTACGATTCCTACGAGATGTGCATAGAGTGACACACACACACACACACACACACACACACACACACACACACACACACACACACACACACACACACATATATATATATATATATATATATATATATATATATATATATATATATATATATATATATATATTCCTATGAGATGTGTACATTTAACTGGTAGCGTAACAAGACACAATACCAGGTCACATAATACCACACACAGTGTACAAAATAAGATGCAGCCAACAAAACAATTCACATTGTCGGAAATCAAATAAGTAGTATAGGTGTCACAAAGGTTAGACTATCCTCAAATAGTAAAGATAATTGCAGTCCCAGATGCTATTTGGTAATGTTTATAGCACATCCGATGAACAGGATACACATAGCAGACAACCAAGGGGTTCCCCCGCTTCGCACCGGTGCATTGTTGAATATACCCTTTCGTTTAAATATGCCTTTTTCGAAATCTTCTATCAACTTTGTTATGTCGTCCACTATAGAAGGAAGAAAAACAATTGTTATTGTTATCATACAGCACGTATAAAAAACATACATATACATATGTAAACCAGTTAACTCACGGTTTATTTTGTCCAGATGTATGCTGGTGTTGATGGGCTCGATTTGCCACAGTGTAGGGACGATCAAGTCAGGTCTTATAGCAAATGGAAACGATTGCGTTGTTGTATCTTCTAAAGGGTTTGAGAATGACAATTTACATGCGTGCAGACACATATTACATTATTGTAACACTGATATTACCGTACCACTTATTTCTCCTGTGGTGCTGCTATCCGGACAGTGGTCGAGACCAGTTTTCTCGTAGACAGCAAATAACCCTGGGGGTGGTTCGGTGACGTAAAACATCCCATTCGTACCGTTCAACGTGTTGTTCCAGAGCTCCTGCAGATACCACGACGTGGTAGGATTATCATCGTCCACCGGTTGCCGAAACGTGGATATTTTAACTACGTCGTTTAACTGAAGCGATATACCGATTTTGTTATCTGTTGGATAATTCAGCCGATAATATAAGGTATTACTCATCGGTTCTGGCTTGATGACGTAGAGTGTGAATGTTTCAGATCCCAAAATGTAGTCGCCTTTATCTTGACATGTTAGGAATCTGATCGTAACCTGGCACCCCCGTGGAATACATCTTACCGCATACGCGGGATCGGTTGGTAAAACAGCCGCGTTGTTCTTGTAAAACACCGTCTGTTCACTCTGCAAGAAGCCTGGGAGTGTATAACTATGAGCCATTTTGCCCATATAAAGAGCTCTTCCAAAAGACATCGCTGAGTAGCTGAGTAAGAGTAAAACCGCAAGTGTAAAGGAAGCCATCTGTTTGGTGTTATGGTTCTCAGTGAAGCGAGCGGGTTGTGTTCAGCGTTTTTATAGACCGGGTGCATGCGCTTACGCAACAGAGCGCGCGCTCTACGATTTGGATTAACAGTAGTTTTTTACACGTTCTACGGAACCGTATACACGCTACAAAACCATCAAGCGCTACATTGCTTGTTTTTTTTTTAGATAATACATGTTTTTTTTTTATTTTGTAAACTCGTAGGAAGAGCATACCAAGAAAAAAAACTTGATCAAGTTTTAAATGACCCGACTAAGCGCTCATCATTCCGAAAGGTCCGACTAAGCACTCATCACTCCGAAAAGCCCGACTAAGCGTTTACCAACAGTCCGAAAGGCCCGACTAAGCACTCATCACTCTGAAAAGCCCGACTAAGCACTCATCACTCCGAAAAGCCCGACTAAGCGTTTACCAACAGTCCGAAAGGCCCGACTAAGCACTCATCACTCCGAAAAGCCCAACTAAGCACTCATCACTCCGAAAAGCCCGACTAAGCGTTTACCAACAGTCCGAAAGGCCCGACTAAGCACTCATCACTCCGAAAAGCCCAACTAAGCACTCATCACTCCGAAAAGCCCGACTAAGCGTTTACCAACAGTCCGAAAGGCCCGACTAAGCACTCATCACTCCGAAAGGCCCGACTAAGCACTCATCACTCCGAAAGGCCCGACTAAGCACTCATCAAGAAGACAGTAACCGAGCATAAAAAGCCTAGACGGACATTTAACCAAGAAGAAAAGCGTAGACTTAGCATAAACTCGCTGACATAATCTGTGTTATAAACACACCAAGAAGACTATTCTTCAATCCTGCCAGTGGAACGTGTAGTGTTCACAACATGCCTGTGAATTATTATCTCCGTGCCTGGGACTTATGTGAACTGTGTGAAAGGTTTAAGACTACATCGTTCCTACAGTTCCTCGCAATACCACACGCGGACGCGGTGAAACAGTACGGCGCAACTTTTGCAACGCACCATCAGCAGTTATGCAAGTCTCTTCGAAACACGCTATATCGCAAACGCATGATCGATACAGCGCACGCAGGAACCAACGGAGACTACGATGGCAACTCTAACCAAAGAGTATCTTCGTTGACACGAGATATGCGGACTCTACTGGTCGACGAATCTATTCCAACCCGAAATTGGGCCGATAATTCGGACGAAGAGGATGAAACCGCCTCTTGTACATCGGCGAAAAGCCGTCTGGAAAGTCCGTTCAGGTCATACGCGACTGAAGACGCTGAACTGCTGCCTACAAGCCCCTGGCCACTCGAGGCACCTAGAGCTCCCGTGAAGAATCGTTTGGGACAAGCGCCGAAGAGACGCTGGTACCGCACTCGCAAGCTCCGCCGGAATCTACATCGCGAATTTGAACAAGCAGCGGCTCACGGAGATGACGGTCGTGTCAGCGTAAAGGACAGGCTAGGGGGTTACGTGACCACCAACATGGCCAGATATAAACGACGTAGACGACGTCGGCGGTCTTCTTGCAACGGCACTGCCTATGGAACCGGCGGTAAATCTGAATGGGGAAGTCGACGATACAGCAATCGGTCTTGACGTGTGCTACAGTCAGATCGGCTTTTAAATGCACATGAACAAGCAGCACGTCCCGAATGCTACAAACACTTTCTGTGTGATTACACAGTGTTTCTTTAGGTCACTCATATACTGTGTGTAACATGAACGTTATTTGAAACATGTCCAATAAACACATTTCTGTCATATACATCAATTCTTTGTTGTATCCTTTTGTTTAAGCAAATTAGAAATGTTAGATGTGTATAATAAAATTCACAGAACTCTTCTCCTACGTCGACCACAGTAGGGTTTCCAGCAAGTGCACATCGGAACATTGCATAAAAACACAATTCAAACATAGAAGCAGAATGGTCAGAGTGAAAATGTTTTTATTAGCTTTCCCAAAGGTATTATCACAGTTAGGACGAAGGCATGCATCATACAAAGGGAATTATTACGGTTATCATTCATACACGTAGGTTATTGTAGTCATAGCCTGCTTTTCGTCCTTTGTCAGTTGAAGCCACCGTGTCATTTGAGTTTGATGGCTACACTCGGGGTCATTGTTCCTTTCCCGCACGGGAACAAGCGTAACGCGGTCTGGTGTTCTGCAATTGACAACAAGACACTGCGCTACAGCCGCATCTAGCCACTGGTGTAAAATCGCCACCAAGCTCGGCAATTGTTCGCTGTGACACAGGGGAAACACAACATCGTCCTCGTAACCAGAGTCATCCGAATGTACGGACGATGACATGGCTTCATCATCGTCGCGATCGCTCCCTGTACCATAACCAGACTCCTCTGAGTGTTCAAAAGGAGGTGTGAGCATTTCGTCGTCACGGTCACCCTCCGCGTCAGACCCAGGATCGGCTGGGCATATAGCCGGGGGCGTGATTATTTTGTCATCAGCACTTTCCCAATCGGTCCATGTATCGGATGTGATGAATACAAGACCTGTGGGACATCTGTAAATGCCCCAGAAACCTGTTACAGGTTCGCCGATATCTCCGAGGGCGACCGAGTTGAAGTTCAACTCGGATGGAACATTCATGCGCCCTAACACACTAGCCAGCGCCACTAAATTATACCTGAAGCCGTCGTCTGTTACTTCGCCGTCGTACGGAAAAACGCTGTCGTAGCCCGCGGTGCGAGCTATATCCTTATTTCCCGTCAGAAGTAAATGTAGCAAATCCAACGCGCCTCTTAGCGGTATACAGAGCGATGTTGTTGGTCTGCCCTGTGAAGTTAGCTCCTGTGGTACGCATGGCCAATACGTCCAGTCTTTTTCGTCTTGTACCTCTGCGATGGTCGTAAACTTCAGACAAGGCACTTCGCGTTCTGATAGGATGTAACTAACGCTGATCGAGTGTGCAATCTTCCATTCTGCAGCTCCTATGTCTACAGTTACACACCGATAAGATCGCGTGGCTACAGGCGTATCTGTCGATGATGTACTACCGAGAAACGTAGCCATTGCAGCTACAGACGAAATGTACCGTTAAGACAGGATATTTCTTTATACGTGTGTATATACGCGCTGAAACACCCCTCCCCGTAAATCAAGAGTATTGTTACTCCGACCAATGAACCAAAAACTTCCTTTTAGCACAGCACAGTCTGCAGCACTGTATAAATATCAGAACACTGCAAGCAACTCGGTGCACACCCACCGAACGCGCCTTCGCTGACTACTTTGCGTGTAGAAGCAGTTCGTCAGCAGTACTCTTTCTCACCTCACAGACGGCCGTGATTCCATACGCCAGCCGTTGCACGGTACTGTGGTCCTCACTGTGTTGAACATGGACGACTACGACGTCGTACAGCAGATTGGACGCGGCTCGTATGGACGTGTTTTTTTAGTGAAATGTACAACGACGCAACGTAGGTACGCGCTAAAATGTCACATAAACGCAGCCGACGCTAGCGTTTCACAATGTGCGATCAGAGAACTTTCATGTTTGAAAGCGCTACAAGGACACCCTAATATAATTGAAATCGAAAAGTGTTTTATGTACGAGAACGAAATAGCGACACTAATGCCCTACTGTCCTCTTACATTACATCGAGTGCTATTCCGATATCCGCGCGTCCCGTTACCGCTCGCGTTTGTGAGCCGATTTTCCTGCGAGGTTGCAAACGCGCTTGCTTATATGCACGCGCGAAACATAATACACAGAGACCTTGTTCCTTCGAACGTATTGCTTACAGACACGCTAAACGTGAAAGTTTCTGACATGGGACTTTCGAGGTACGCTGTAGCACCGATGAGTACAACGGTGGTCACAGAACCGTACAGGGCACCCGAGTTGTTTTACGACGGGGATACGATGAACTACACGTGTGCAATTGATATGTGGAGTCTTGGGGTTATGATTGTGGACGCAACGGAAATTACCATGGTTTTCCTTCGTGGAAAAAGACCATCGTCTGAGTCCACGTACACTATCATCATGCGCACCTTCCAAACCAAGAACGATGTACAACCGTGTTATAATAAGACGATGCCCAATGTGATGGCATGCGAACACACTACAAGAATCGTTTTTAAACTCTTGCGGTTGCAACCAAGCGAGAGATGGACGGCTCGCGAGCTGCTCGCAGACAATGAGTGGAAAAGTCTGTCGAGTGTTTCTTTAGACGATATAAACACCATCAGAGACCATGTGATGAACTAGATGGCTTGATGTATTTTATTAGTGCCATTAATTGTCACAACAAGACTCCGTTATACACCATTGTACCCTGTTTTGTAATCTTCCGAATAGGTATATTACTCGAAAGATATACTTTCATGCTTGTGTACTTTATAGTATGCCTCATGCTTGTGTACTTTATAGTACGCCTTACTATAAGGATTGGTGTCGATGTACACGTGAAAGGGTCCTTCGTTGTTAGGCTAAAATAAAGCAAATACTATAAACAGCTTTCCTGTTTCTGTGTTTTTATTACAAATACATACATATTACACAACACTCTGTACACCATTCAATTGTACTCCATGACTAATAAATGCCGCCATATAATAGCCACCAAGCCATAGTCTTTTTAATGAAGATTGCTATTATATTTGAGTTTGTTTTCGCCGCTGAAATTGTTGAGACGGGAAATACCTAGTTATATATAGTATTTACGGAGTGTCTTGTCGTGACAAGACTCTCGCCTCATACACACCTAGCCACCAGTATGGATGGTGAGAGTGATTCAGACTGCGAGGTGATAGACTCGCTCACTGAACACTTTACGTATGACCCAATACGTGAGCAAACCAAATGGTCTGTGTGTAAAAAATTAGGACTTGCCTATACGATTGTCAATTCCAACGCTAGATGTGAAACAACCACTCCAATGGCACTTGGTCCGCCTTGCGGAATAGATACAGTGGATATGGACGGTAATTGTTTTTTTAGAGCTATCAGTTCAGCGCTGTGTAACACGCAGAATAACCACAAACTCATACGAATGGCTGTGGTGAACGAGGTTGTACATAGAATAGACACAAATCACTCTAATTTGTCTTCTCGTACCTCTGGCGCACAGTACATAGAGGCCACACAGATGGACGTTCCCGGAACCTGGGCCACTGAGGTGGAAGTACATGCGACGGCGCAGCTGTTGTCATTGTTCATATACACGTATCTCAATGGAAAGTGGTTACGCTTCACACCAGAGAACACTACCGTACGCGAGGGTATATACATTATAAACAGTGGTAACCATTACAACGTGGTTACAAGTGTGCAATGCGTAGAACCGGCGTGCACAAACCGCTACAACTCGACTAGCATGAAGACTGCCACCGGCGGCAGTGTAAACAAACCACCTGAGTCGAAGACCAACACGTGTGGTGATGTCGCGCTACACAACGTCTCCAATGCTGAAAAATACTCTCAATGTCATGTACCTTGTAAGGAGAGAGTCACGACGGATACCGAGATTCAGAATGTCTCCGTGACTAGATACGATTCCCGGCAGAATGCGTCTTGTAATGTCAAAGCCCTGTCGGATATGGACCTAGTAGACAAAATGATAACCTATGACATAGAAATGGATAACTTTGCAAAGGAGGGCTACCGTATCACAGCTACGCCAGGGGTTACTACGCTCCGGGACACGTGGGGCAATTTCCTCGACGTACTCAAGGACAGATGGTGGGGTCGCGTCGACGAAGACCGGCTAGATTTCTATATGCTGAGGCACTGCGTTGTTGGCGATATGGCCATTACAGCGGATTTATCGGACCAACCCGGCAACGTGTGCACGGTCACTGTATGCATGCCAGACCACCTGAAAAAATTCCACGTAGGGAAACACAACCTTGACTATACGTGCAAGTGTATATCCGCCACAGCCACGCTTTCTTCGCCCTATCCGTGGATCAAACGTATCGTCAAGAAAGTGAAAGAAGACTTGCGCCGGCTCCCTGAGCAGGCGACGGTGCGTGTGAGAGTGCTATCGAAACCCACGGATGTTACGCTGACCGAAGACCGTACAGCACGTGTTCCCGAAACACCGCTTATATAATGTGCATATTGTGTTGTTGTGTTATGTGATTGATTTGCAATAAATATACAACTATGTGGTTGGTGTATATTGTGAGGTTGAATAAAAAAAAATTAAAACCCACACATTACTTTCACACGTGTCTTTATTGTACATTTGACATTTCAGGTACGACCGCGTTTATAGTAATAAACAAGCCATTCGTCCACACTCATAGCACTCCTTACTGTAAATTGCATAGGCGTTCGTTTGATCAATGTACTGACACAAAGTTTCTCGATGTTGGCTACGCTGCTATCAGTAGTCCGTCTTCTCCACGAGGTTGCATCGTTTACTACGATGCTATTGTATAGTTCGTTGATAGTATTCCCGTATATGACGGCGATGTGTATAGAGCCTGAAACAAACCCCACATTTTCACACGGGCTTTCAAAAATCACTTTCACATCTGGCGTCTTGGTGTCGACGACTGCAAAGATGTCAGCGTATTCGCTGAGTGTTTGGTATAAAACAGTCAGGTGTTTCATCATCGAATACGGTATAACCACATTGCCGTTGTGATTTTTAGGCGGGAACATGATATCATCATCATCATCATCATCATCATCGTTGGCATGTGAGTGCACATATGCTGATTTGGTGAGTTTGTGTAGGACATCTTGCTCGTCCATGCAAGCACATCTAATGAGATCCATCAGGTTGTAGAGAGCCATGTGTTCTTTGTTACTAGCGACATGTGTGCGATCAGGAGTACAAATGGTGCCTAGGCATTCTGGGAACACGAATGTTACATCTCCGGCCGCGTCCGGTTTAAGCTGCACGCAACCGCGATTGCCGCATGTGGTACAGTAAAAGCCAAACGTTTTACTGTTAGAAGAAAGCAAAACGTACAAGGCTCCTTTGGCTGCGTCCGCTGCCCACAGACTGTCTGACATCATGAATCTTAGAACGTTGCTAAGAGCTTGTGTATTCTCTTCGTCGTAGAGTGCCGGTTCGCGACTAAACGGTTCCGTGTTGGTTCCGGCGATTTTTATGGTCATCTGTCCACTAGAACCGTGGTCTGGCGGATCGACAACAGGCCGCGCGCCTGAAGCTACGCACCATTTTGATGAGAGTTTATTCACATCATTGGATAACACCCTTTTTCTGCTACTATCGAGGACCGCGTATTTGACAGGTATCGCCTCGAACGAGCCTTGTTTGTACGCGGTGAGTGTCATATAATCGACCGTAAAGAAGACACTGTGTCCCGCATGTGTTATTAGTTCCGGTAGCTCCAAGGAAAACACCACCGGTTGGCCGCCGCTGGTGTGTTTCTTGACAGTGTGACAAAATGTCAGCTCTTTTTGACAGACCTGCATTGTCAAGTTGGTTAAAATATCATACACCATTTACTTTCCAGGTCGTATACCGTGTATAGTACATGTTTGATCACAAATCAGCAAGCGAGTACCCCGCCGTGCTTGCGCTTATTTGTAATTGGGACCATCGTTCACACAGCGCCCAAACGTACGCTTCTTGCTCGATCCGTACACGTGCCTCAGTACCTCGTGTGCAGCTACGTTGTCGCACAGGAGTTGTTGAAAGAAGTTTCTACAACCCGCGCAATGGTACGCGACACGTTTCACGTCGCTACTCACGCCTGGTCTTCTCTTGCTCATGGGAGTTACTGTCACAGTGAGCCAACGCTTTTCTTTGAACGCCGCGATCCAGTTCTTTAACGTCTCGTCGTTATCTATTGAATACGGGACGATGCACAGCGTGCTCTCTGGGTACAGAGCGTGTGTGGGCCACGCGAACGCGGGCGGGTTGTGTATTTGTAACATGATAGCTATCTGATACAAGAGACCCGCAAGATCGACTGTAGATTTTTCGTAAAGCTCACTCTTGGATACAAAAAGCCTACTCTCAACAGCAGTGCTCCTCGTATCGCCCATAACGGTAGCCGGCACTACGATCGATATTTTGTCATCATCACAGGTACCCTTCGGTTCTAATGAAACCGCGCCTTGGTCGATCAACTCACACAGAGACCTTCTTAGGTCGTCCACTAGGCCCTTGTACACATCACCTGGACAGAGTCGCAAGTCTTGGATCACCACGGTCCTGCACGCTGCCAGTTTGTCGTCAGAGAGCCGAGTCACTCGCTCTCTGTTTGCGCTTATTCCAGCCAATTCGTGCGGACCGCATGTGGGTATCATGTGTTTTGGGCAATTGTTCATGAGACAATTGAACGCGGCGTTTGCCCTTTTCAGTCGATCTCTAATAGAATTGATGAACGTCAGCAGCCAGTGTTTGCAATCCTCGATGTTGCGTCGAGTGGCACCTAGACTACTAGCGCTGTACATGTGTCGCGGTAGACAAAAGTCTATGATACAATGAGCGATTAACTTTCCAGACCTGTTTACCAACGTGCGATCGGCCTCATGCGCCAACATCACTTTGGAGTTTGCGTAACACATGTTACCCATCTGATACGGGTGGTGTACCAAGGGGTTGTGCGGCGTGTCATCGTTATCGGTAGCGGCGCATGTGACACTCGCCTCCCCGGAGTGACTTTTACTAGTCACCTCGCAGGCCAGGGAGCCGCCGAACATTGCTGTTACGCAGCCCGATGTGGCCTGTAACGCCAAGGGGTATCTGTAAAAGGTCGCTTCGCATGGGTTGCATTTGTAAAACTCGTAACATTGCACGGGCTTCACGGTCAAGCCCGTGATACGCTGTAGCCAAGTACGTGTAAGTTCAACGTAAGTGGTTTTCACGTTCGCGTTCCCGACTTTCAGGCGCTCTAACGTCTGTTGACTGAAGTGTTTGTTCTTAGCGGATTTGATCAAACTACGCCAAGGAAACATACCTAGTCCCATTTTCGAGGCGATCATTTCGGAGGCCCTGGCGGCTAACAAGTCTCTGAGAACACTTTCTTTTCTAGAGAACATGTGATTCATACAGTAGACGCCATCTTTATGTAAACTCAGTACGCAAAACGCACTCTCGTCATTCTCAGCATCCGTGGGTTCCAACCTCACTGAACAGGCGCGTAGCTTACACGAAGCCTCGAACGACGTGACGGCCGCGACTCTGTGAGGTGTCAAAAATGAAGCTGCTTGGCTCAGCTCGAGCCATCGGCCGGCGTCGTCAAACGTGGGTGGTTTGTGCAGGTACAGTATCACGTCGC